TTTTTTCCCTTTTTTTATATTTTTTTTCCCCCCCCCCCCCCCCCCCAACTTTTCTAATGTGAAAATGTTCCTCAGCTTAAAAAAAAAGTTAGGAAACCTTGCTCTTAAATACTGTGGAACATTCAGGGAAAACCAGCACCTAAACTGTGCAGATTATTCAAAGGAGTACTTTACATCTCTTTTATTACCCTGTATAGCAGTAGAATCCCATTTGTCAGCTCCCCTTGTTCTGTTTGGCATAGTTAGCATAATGAATAAATTATTTAGTTGCAAAGAACTAATAGAGAAAGTTATTTCCAACAGGAGACCTGTTCGTGCTCTGCCTTTGATGCAGTGCACTGATAGACAGACTAGTGTCTTCTTGAAGAATAACGTGCATGTCTTTTCCTCACCCTCTGTCCCCCCACCCACGTCGAAGGCGAACTCTGGAGATTAGTTATTTCAATTAGCTTTCTTGGTGGAGTTTAAGCCGTGTTAATTCCCGTCACTTGCACAAATCCCAGTGAAAAAGCTCGCACTGCTGCATTATCACCAATCCCCAGTCGTCTCATTCTATGGCTATATTATGGGAGTTCTCCATAATGTAAATACCACAGTCCTAGTAGGGCATTATTTAAAACTCCTGCAGCAATTATCTTTACAAGGAGTGACCTCTCCTAATGACACATTTGTTCTGGCTGGCCTTTTTATTTCTACACAAGAAGCCTTGGTAACTGGTTGCTGCAGTGGATAAATCTATGGAGAAACTGTTGTTCGTGTTCATTAAAATGAGAATGTTTTAAAAACATAAGAAGTTATAACAAAACATTTTAGTAAAAGTAAGTCTCATTTCCATCAGTGTACAGTAAAACTGTTGTCTAGCCTCATACAGAGTCATCTGTTGATATTTGATAATAAAAATTTTCCAACAACTTCATGCACTGGAATGGTTGAAGCATACGTCAGTGGCAAAGCAATACATTTAAGAAGGGATAAAGATTGACCGACAAAGACAGGTTTAACAGCCTATTAATCATGAGGGCCTGACAACTGTAACAGTCAGAACCTATGAACTCTATAAAAACAAAAATTTTCATATACTCAAGACTGTCTACTTTGCATATTAAATCTGTGTTCTGGAGTGTGCACAAAAATATTATGATAAAAAGTAGCGGTCATTTTGTCAACAGACAGCTGGGCCAATAAATAACTCCTTAATGGAGTGTGTGATGTTACAGAAACATTTTACTACATTAGGTATTTTACAACGTCGCTGTCCAACTATCTGATTTTGTGTTCAACAATAAGGGAAAGATGCTACTTCAAAGAGTGAGAGAAACAACAAACTACTTTATGAACTCTTTTCTGCTGACATTTACCTTAGTAAAATACAAAATAAAATGATTGAGTGAAGAAATGTGGGCAGGTGCTTCTTTGTGATACAATGCATACACACAAGGTCAAATCATTCCTATTTGTACACTGAGAGGTCTTCACAGTTGTTTCTGTAAGTATGTAATAACGGTGTTGAGAATGATAGCAATTTGCTACAGCTGACAAGTGTTCAGATGTTTTTCACACACACAAAAAAAGAAAAAACTAAAAAATGAACAATAAAAGGACAGAGTTAGGTTGGCACTTGCACTTTTTTAAATCTAAAAATATCCACTTTCTGTGGGTGTCTACAGTGTAGAGTGAAAACAGGTTCTCATTTCACTTTTTTTCTCTTTAAAACCTCACACCTTCTGAGTTTTTCTTTACAGAATAGTTTCCCAGTTATTTATTAAAAACATGCTGAAGAAATGTAGAAATAACACAAGACTCTAAGGTGCACTGAATCTGTTGCATACTGTTAACATGTTATCCTGGGGGAACACAAACCCGAAACTTTCCTCACATTTATTGCATAGTGTCACTGATTATCCATCGTCCTATAGTATTCTATGCCAATACATTGTTGCAGGGGGAGTTGAGATCCCAACTGATATTTGGTAACAGTGGGATTCATCCAGGGCTGGTTACTGCAGGGCAACATACAGAAACAAACTAGCTCACACATATAGAAGTCTGCATGTTTTTTGGTTGGTCCAGAATGTCATAAGTTCACTTTGTGATGTGTTGATCAGGAAATTTAGTATTTTCATATTACACTGATTTTTATTACATAAATATACTGAGTATAAGTGTGTTTAAACAGATAAATATCTACAAAAATCACTTAAATTATACTGTGAGGTTTAGATCATTTTCACTAGCTCAACAGCAGACCCTAGTGGTTAGATTGATTAATATCCCAAATTAATCACTTCAAGTGGTGTGTACACCATATATACAATCTAATATACAATCCAATTTATAGCAGACTTACAATTTTGCCCCAAGGTTTAAAGATAATAAAAATCCAAGCCTTACAATGTAAGAATTGGAATGTTATAATTAAACATCAAACAAATCATTGATTCATTCAAAAGCAAACCTTGCAGCTTTTTAAGATTTGTTATTTTCAAATGTAACAACTTTCAATCAAAATGGGCTTGTGTAGGATTGAGGGATTTCACATTAGGTCAGTTTTCAATAAGAGAGAGCGAGAGAGAGATAGGGAGGGGGTCGGGGGCAATATCACTTTAAACCCAGAAAATCACAATGCAGTAAATTGCTTCTTGTACGTGTGAAGCCAAGCACAATCATTATGGCCTTGGGCAGAACAACACAATCTCCAGCTTATTTGGTCATTATTGAGCATACTTACTCGGAGGAAGAAAACAGTGGACAAAAGGGTAATGTTGCCAATATATTTGAAGTTTTCAATTAAGCCAACCTTAACTGCTGCAGAGTGACTGGCTGTGTGTCAGACAGGTTGAAGGACAAAGCTTCAGTAAGAGAATGAGAACAGCCGTATTACTCTGATCTTTACACTTGCCACTGCAGTTGAACTCTGGTTGTAACAGCGCCGTTTGTCTACGTTACAGTCACATGCCGTTAAATTTACCAGGAAATATGGCAGCAATAAAGTTTTGTAAACCAAAGGGATGCATCGACTAACTGCTGTTATTCAGTCAGAGACTCTAGGCTACTTAAGACCAACTACATGTAAGCTTGGTGATGCTGATATGTGATGATCAATTACATCACCTCTAATGTAAATTAATTATAAATGAATGTCTACCCTTTCTTTCAACACTATGTAATGTATAATATTAAATGTACAATATTAAAGAACAGAGTAAAATCGAAAAACGAAACGCAAATACAGACAAATGCAGTAAGTAATAAGTGCGCACACAACACATAGGTAAAGGATATTCACATTTAAAACGCATTTGGACGTGAGCAGATCAAATACAGTATGATCATGACTAATTTTAAACACGGCGTACTGCATTCTGAAAGCAGTGAGCACCCTCTTTTGGCGACAGTGGGGATTTCATCTCTGCTTCCTTGAGGGAATGGCTCGCAAGAGACTTACGGAGATTGGGTTGCCATAGCAACTGTAGATAGTGAAAGCGCCACCTCCTGAGTACGACCCTATACACTATACAGATATATTTAATTGCATAAAGCCTGTTCCTATTCTCTTGAGAGAAGACACAGTCACAGAGGATCGGATAAAACAGAAATCGGATTTGTTTTTGTAATGTTCTGTTAACATTTGTGGCCTGTTGGCTGTTACAAATTACTGCGTGATTAGTTTATATATATATATATATAGACATAAAGAAATATTTCTTAACGTGTGGGTTAATGCTGTAATTGGATGAAATATTGTCTTGATTATAAGGTAATTACATAAAACTAATAGCCTTTGACCCTAATAAGTGTAAGTAATGAGAAAATTACTACGTTTGAACATCAGTCTGCAATATATCTCACCTCATTACTTCTGTCAAAGCATGTTAAAGAACATATGTTAGCCTTTAATAATAATAAAAAAACAACAACAATTGGCAAAGCGCAGTTAAAGTTACTTCAATTAAAATGCATACACAGGTGCTTCAGCCTTTTCACTACTGCACTAATCCCTAGTTCATTTTAATTACCCACAGATAGAAAAAAATAGACAAACTTTCATCTTGTTCCTATGGGAATGGACCCATCATGGCTGAAAGGTAACCGTTTAATTGCACAGTAGCATTTTTCAATATTCATATTAAGGATTATTTTTAAATATAAACTGGTCTGTCATAGTGTAAATATTTTTATTAGTAAACTATAATCTAACAGTCAACCATCTGTATTGACCAAGAGTTAAATCCCCCATTTTCTTCTTATTGGTGATTAATGTTCACAAACATTATCTAACAATATTCAGTCAAAAAAGAACATTGTAATTTATTTTTTATTATATAAAATTAAAGTAATATACATTTCTTGTAAATAAATTATTGAAATTGGAAAGGTATGATTTACACTTAATAACAAAAGTATTTAAAACAAAATAATGAATTGTTTTGACTGAAAGTGGGGCATAAACGCATTATCATGTAGATGTATTTTTCCACCTAAAAAGCTCGAGTAAACTTTTCCTTGTTATTAATATACTACAAAAAACGACTATTTCAGTTCATTTTGTTGAATTGGATTTTAGAATCACGCTGGCGCTGTCCATTACCTGAGGTGCTGAAATTATGACCCAAGCCTGCGCAACAACAAATTTGTCAGCGCAAAAAAAAAAAAAATTTGTGAGGAAAAGTAAATGATTATATACTTTGATCTTTTCGCATCTGGTATAAGTATATGTATAAGTATGTTAGAGCAAAAAGTACAATTTTCTTTCACCGACTCACTGCAGCGTGGTGTTGCGTTTTCTCCCAAGCCGTTGTGCGTATTCTTCAACGCCTAGTAAGTACTTTTCTTACGTTCTCAAAGCCATTGAAGGTTAAACTACGTCGTGGGCGTAGCGACTTCTTGTAATGGCGACCGTGCCGTAGATGTGACTAGGTTTGTGAAAATGAAGCGAAGAAGAACTTATTTCTTTTAAGCAAAACGCCGAGGTTCCCCGCAGGTGAACTGAGTCTATAACCATAGTCTCTGTAAGTCGTTAACTTCGCAGTGCTTTTGAACGTTTGTTTTGCCGAAATGATGAAGATCAAATCAAACCAAACCCGGACGTACGACGGGGATGGCTACAAGAAGCGGGCGGCCTGTCTGTGCTTCAGGAGCGAAAGCGAAGAAGAGGTAAGGCCGCTGATGCTGTTGTCTGCTAGGCCAACCTTACACTAGCTTCCGCAGGTACTAGTCATTGAATAGATAATTTCGTGAACGCCCTGGTAAATGTTTACTGGCCGGGGACAATAACTAAACATTTCTGAGAGTCGTGTTACCCAACTGTAGTGTGAATAAAACATGTGTTTCCAGCCTTAGGTCAGTGTTATGTAAGGCTTACCAAAGTCTGTTAGCTTTTGTAGCAGCCGCGTCCTCACCCTTCTTAATATGGTCCAGACAGCTGCAAGCTAATGCTACCACTAGCATGCTTGGTAGATTTGTAGCAGCTGGGGAGCTCCCGGTCAGATACCACAGCCCACACACACCAGGCTGTGAATAACGAGACTTGTATAGTGGAGGCGACCATAGACGGAAATGTATACAAAGATTGGTTCTAAACAGTGGCAGGCTATGACATTTATTTTTAATGTTTGGATTTGATATTTTCCGCCTTAGTGCCCGTTAGTGTTAGCCTTAAAGCTACCGCTAACCAAACATTTAGGCTAGCTATTAGCTGAGTCGGCTTTCGGCATATATTAACCGCAAATTAGCACTATTGTTTCACACTCCTCCGTTTTTACGTTTTGCCTTGATAATAAAACAGGGTTGTAAAGAAAAAAAGTATTTATATTATGCACTATTCTATTGGCATATTTGTTTTCGGTCAGTTGCTGGTTGCTAATTCCGGTCAAAGCTTATAAATCTGATCAGCAAAGGATTATTTTTCACCTCTGGTCAACAACATGCTACAAAGATGCCATTGTGCGGAAACATTTCACTGGGGTGAACTTAAGAATTCAGAAAAAATGAATTTCCCATTCGGGTCAACGTACAGGGTGGATGATACACAACATGAGTTGGCTCGTTACAGGAAACGCATCATCACGACCAGAGCGTAGTGGTAAACGGTATTGGAGAGGTTAGATTGTTACGTCGTTTATCTATGTTTCTATATAAATCCCCAAGTTGTGTGGAATCTAATAAAGTTCGTTATATAAACGAAAGCTTAGAACTGTACAACCAACATTATTCACACTGAATCCATTTGCAGCTGCTGGGGTTGACACGGTTAGTAGTTGTCACGTGTGTCAGGTGGCTGTTTTCTCTCCCTGACCATAAAATCAATGCACGTTCTCGACCATCGTGCACATCCAACAGTGCATGTGTAATGTAATTTTCCACACCACCACAAATGCATACATAAAATAATGTAAACATATGCCTATGTTTTTTTTTGTTATTTAAACTAATTTGACAAAAGTAAATAAACTAAGAGTATTTTTGGACTAATGCTGTTTCCCTTCTGTGTTGACCCTGTATGCATCATACTATCATATTTATATGCATCATATTTACTCATTATAAGTATATGATGTTGCATGACATCATGACTGACCATCATTCTTCTAAAAACCCAATCATGTTAACTTTTTTTGCCACACACTGTACACTAAGAAGAACAGTGGTCATTGCTAACAGTGCAGAGGTTTTAAAATCATGGGTTATAATAACCTTAGATGTTGTTTATTGACAAACTGAGTGTCAACCAGTGGGTTGTGAGGGTGTTAATTATTTAGGGTACGGTAACAGGGAGACTTGCTGTGCCTCTGAAGCAGGGTTTCTCAGAAATTAAGTAGCACTGTTTCAGAAACCCTGCACTCCACCATAAATCTTTTCTGAGTTCCTTTTATTTTCCTGTGGCCTGCTAGTTCCGTCTCCAATATCCTTTTATCCAGTATTTATCCAGTATCTCTACTGTTCCCCTCGTCCAGACCATCACAGCCTTGCCTCTGCCTCTTAGTTGTACCTCATATCTGCACACTCCTGGTTATGGCCATCCTGTGCACTCCCGTTTGCAATCAAGATTTCAAGAAAAATAATGATCAAAAAAGATTCAAAATATAAGTACACAGTGGACCAACCAGTCTATAATGTGACAGTGATCAGTTGTCTTCATTTCAGGTGCTGCTGGTGAGCAGTAGTCGACATCCTGACAAGTGGATAGTCCCTGGAGGGGGGATGGAACCAGAGGAAGAGCCCAATGTTGCTGCAGCTCGTGAAGTCTGTGAAGAGGTTAGTAACTTTACATACCTGTGAAAGGATGAAGAGACTGTTAACCTGCAGACTATACTTAAGTGTGTTATAAAAACATGAAACGTGAAAGAAAGTTAACAGGCCATAATATTTTTGTTACAGAATGTATTGCTTTGTGCAGTGTGGAAATCTGTTATAGCATAGGATAGACTGCGTTACAGATGTATTAAATCACATCTGTATTGATCACAGTGCTTTAATGCCTTGCTCGGAAAGCTCATTTTGTCAGCATTGTTTGCATGGATAGGAGGAGGGCCGGCCTGGCAACGTGTCGGCTCTAGTACAGCATCACATTACAAAGCAATGTTTTGGTGTCAAATAAGGTTGCACCAAGGTTGATTTGACATCAATAAAACCTTTTAATTGAAAACACCACCATTTCCACTAGAGGTGGGTAAAAATATCAATGAACTGCAAATCTTTCCCCCAAATTCAGTATCGATTCAGTGATCTTTGAATTGATTGAAGTCGCTTATATTAAAGGACAGCACAGGTTAAGTGTATAAGAATGCCTCCTGTGGTTGGAGGGGGTCACCAAAAGAGTCACTCGCTGCAGTTAAATTCTGAATGTATCTAGTGTCGAGCCCAATACTGATACTAGTGTAGGCATGTCTGCCTCCCATGTTGGAGATTATTACTTCCTGTTTATGTTTTCTATTTTAGCTTGTAAAAGTTAACTTTCCTGTTAGAGCACATGTTGTTGGTTGTCAAGACATTTGATAGAAATGGTAACGCAGTTGTGAAGATACTTAATCTTGTCCAGCACTTGCCAATACCCTCTCTTCTCTTGGCTCTTGTACCAAGTACAAGCTGCCATGGCTCACCAACGGTGGCCACAAGAGCAAAAGCTACGCCAAACCGCTGTGTTGTTAACACGTGACATGAGACTAAAATTCAAATCTTTTTTAGATGCATAAATGTCGCCAAATACACCGCCGTGCACCATGTCCACAAGGCCTCTGAAGCAAAGTGTTGATGGTTTTATAGGTGGTTCGATGCTACGTGGTGTTTTGGAGGCTTTTCGAGCGATGACAGAAGAAGCCCATCATTCAGGAGATTCTGAAAGTTAGAATCCCTGATTCTTTACAACCAGAGCCAGGCATGTACACCTGGACTGATAATATTGTGACATCATTTGTAATATTGTACTGTCATCAGTGCAATACATCCTTTTCCATCCTTCAAAAGAGTAGTCATCAGTTACACAAAGTCTGGAGTGTCAGGACTTTTCCGTCTCATGATACACACAGGATGACTTTTGGCCTATTACTTAATCCCTGACACATCTTTGGAGTTTTCAGAAGTGGGCACTTGGTTTTCGTGTGATCTAATTGAAGGCCAGAGGAGTACATCACTGACTCTGTATAAAAGTGCATGGAGTCATCTTTATTTATAGACAGAAACTAGAACCAAAAGAAGCTGCAGAGGTGTCAGCAAGTGTTTCAGAATCAAAACTTTTATTCTTCCCTGGTGCTGAGAATTACCTAAGGTACTGTAAGGACCATTTTAACAGCAACAGGGGCAGTGTTAATGGTGACAAGTGGATAGTGTGGATGAAGCATTATGATAGAAAGTGTACAAATCCACTTCAGTTCGAACACAAATTTGTCCAACCTTTAAGCATGGCCTCTGTTTTTTTACCTCTCTGCAGGCTGGTGTGAAGGGAACCTTAGGTCGATTAGTCGGGGTATTTGAGGTGAGCTTGTGCTGCAGTTTTGCTCTCTAAATATAATTGACATACTGTTTGTGGATAAGAAGTGAAAACGTAAGAACTTATCCCCACAGAACCAGGAGAGGAAACACAGAACCTACGTCTACGTCCTTATCGTCACAGAGGTCCTGGAGGACTGGGAGGACTCAGTCAACATTGGTAAATTACTGGTTATTGGTAGTAGTGAGCATCATACAAACACAGTCACATGATACCAAAGTTTGAAGTGTCAGTCTTTTTTGTACTGTTTTGACACCAGCTTTGTTCTCCTTTTGATTCTCACTTCAGTACCGTAAACAGTTATTCCTGACAGCCAGTTTGATCTAGTCTTTGTCTTTTGACTAAATTGTGAAGTCTTAGTCCCAATTAGGTTAACAGCACTGTTGTTTATTTTAGTTAGAATTTTGGTCAGTGAAAAATCCTAATTATTTTAGTCGACTAAATGTAATATAAATGTACAATAAGGCTTGTATGGCATTAAGGGTCCACATTTAGTAAGAAAGAAAGTGAAATATATCCAGTCCAGGTGTCGTACCATCTTTTGTTTATTTTGCTAGCTTGATTGCTGTATTTCAGTGTCCTACATTAAGACATTGTCATTTAGCCCCTTAAATCATTGTGGTTTGATGAAAATTATTTGTTAACAACCTTTACAGGGCTGTAAATGAAAGAATTTTCATGATCTTTGATCTTTCTGTTCTTTTTTCCTTAAGTTTGATGTTTCTGTTCTGTCAACAGGGAGAAAAAGGGAATGGTTTAAAATAAACGATGCCATACAAGTGTTGCGGTGTCACAAGCCCGTGCAGGCCACCTACTTCGAGGCTCACCAGGAGAGTTGCCTGACCAGTAACGGAACACCTTTGGTGACCACGATAGGCGGGGAACTCTCCCCTACCTACAGCATCAATCAGAGTTCCATTTCGGGTATTAGATAACTATAACCGCATCTGTGGCACCTCCCATGGAGCTTTTGAGCATTGGCCACCATTTTTCTATTATTTTTCTTTTCTTTTTTTCTCTTCTATCTCAAAAACATGGTTTGCCTTGCCAACTCTTTTGTGCCAGAACTGTGGCACAGACTTGATGACGAGTGTCGGTCGACTAGTCTGAAACATTTTGTAAATGTCGTATTTTTTGACCCTTTTTTTTGTCCTTTCTTTTTACTGACAACCGCATGAAATGTCTCTTTACTACCTTCAACGTCTTTCCTTCAAGCACCCTTAGCGTGGTGTTCATTGAATGCAAGAAGTACTTTTTACTGTTGTAATGTAAAAGTGTAAACCTAGTACGTAAACTGAAGGCTTTGGTGGTCTTTTTCATCTGTCTACCCTTTTTTTTTTTTTTGTGAACAGATGTGCCCATTAGTGTAAGTTCCTCCCACACTGTAAGGAATCACGCCTGTACGTGAAGAATAAGAATTTTGGAATTTGCATGAGCAGCACTGTTATGTTGGTGTGATACTCGCTTGAGTTAACCATTGCTTTAAAGTTATTTCGATATTTGGATATGGTCTTTGTTTGCTCCTCAATGTACTTGTTGAAACTCATATCAGAGAGATACAGCCCCCCGCAGATGGATTTTCTATTTTTCGGCATCAAGTGTCTAGTCAAGCACTACCGGAATCATCTATACTGTACAGATATTTGAACGACTGTCAATATACGACGACAACAAATATGACTTTACCTCTCTTGAATTCCTTAAGTTGTACATTCTTAGAGAAAAAGAAACTCCTTTCATGACTGACTACAATCTTCCTCTGCACAGTGAGATGGAAGATATTTTCAAAATCTTGTAATTAAAAAAGAAAAAGCAGCACATATCACTTCAGTTTATCTCCTCACATTCAGTTCGGTAAGCATTTGCTTACATGTGTTCGTAGTACAGGTTACTTTAGTGGGCACTTCTCTTTGTGGTTGTATGTGTGTGTTTGTGTTTAACCTTCTCTCTAAGTATTTAATCTGCATCTCCTAAAACACAACACCTGCTTGACTTCCAGAGTAACTGAAGCTGTAATGTCTTGGGCAGGATGCAGTACAAGCCTTGTACAGTCTGAGACCTTGTTTTTAACATGTAAAATGCTCTTTTGTTCTTTTTGTTCTCTCAAAGTTTGGCAAAAAGTCTCTTCAGCCGAGCTGCGTTGCTCAGCCCCTATGGCAGGAGGCAGCCGGCTCAATACTGTGAAACTGGAGGCGCTGTAGATAGCACACGAGAGGTTTTTATTGTAAATTGTTTATTTCTGTATAGATCAAATGTCCGACAACAAACATCTTACACCTTGGTGAGTGCGACCCGTCAGAGCAGCTGGGAAAAGTGCTTTTGTTGATTTGGAACAGTTCAGACGTCTCTACCACATGCTTGAAAACAAAGGAATGTAGAGAAGTGGGCGTCGGCATTGACCTCACTTCCAATCCATTATTTTCAACGATACGTCATCCCCTTTAATTCCTTATTCAACCGAATATTTGAAACTGAAAACTTTTCTCACCCTTTCCCTTTGGCCATGCTATAAAAGGCAAGGTTCATTCTAACTATAAGATTAAAAAAAAAAAAACTTTCATCAGTTTCTATGCACTTAAGAGTTTTTGTACTTTATTTAAAAAAAGCCATTCAAAAACAAGGTTCTTTTACTTAACTTTACCAATTTTGTGACGGAAAGTCATTTTGAAGTTTACACTCAGCTCTTCATAGTTCCAGCTCATATTGGCCAACTTATATTTTCTTAAATCCAAATTCAATAATTCAGCACCATGAGAAATCTTTGGTGTTATAACACTAAAAACTAAAGTAAACTAGACCCAACTACCATTTTTCTCCCACTTTTTAATCCTCAGAGCTTTAAACTACACAAGTCTGTGTCAAAGGTTGGCAGTAACAGAAGTTTAAAGTCTGTTTTAAGTAATTTTTTAAAACTCTGGACTGGCTTTAGTGCTGCGTATCTGAGGTGTGACGGCCAAAGTCTTGCTTTACAATGTCTTACCTGGAACTTCCTGTAAGATTCTTAGTTACCAGCATCTAGTTTTCATCTAAATGTGCAATTGTATCAAGTGGGAAAGCTGAGGTTAAAGAAACTGTAATCCCTGGTGTCAAAATGCATGTGAGAAGCATTTTCATTAAGTCAAGGCCATTTGTTCTATAATCCATAAGATCACCATGAACTGTAGACTGTTGAAGACCAGCTAATTTCTTATATATATCTAATCACCTTAAAGTCAAACGTCACACTAAAGATTTGGTCAATAAGGTTGTGGATTTGTGTTTAACAAAATACAATATAAAAAATGTGTGACACTAAGTTCAGTGATAAATTGAAATTGTTAGCTATTAAATTCTCCAATATCAAAGAGTTACGGGTTTGGCCAATTTCTGGCTCCATCTAGTGGTAAAAGCAAAGAAATATATCAGTAAACAGCTTAAAAACGGAAGACTAAAACATCTACACCATCTTTATCTTTTCAATATAAACAGAATGTCCCAAACTGATAAAGACGTGCACTTGAAATCATCGACTCGGCCTGGAAATTATTCATAACTGTGTTCTGAGATTTGTCACTGGAATTATTTTTCCTCTTGTCATTTAGGACTGTTGAATAAAACCAGTGTGAGAAGACTGAAGATTGTAATATAAATGTGCCAACAAATAAACACCAGTATTTCACATTCACAACAGTGTATGTTTGTCTGTAAAAGTACTGTCAATTACTTAAATGGAAAATTACCAGTATTTTTAGTTACTGATCATATGAAACGCCAATATTGCTAAGTTCTTTCAGTTTTGGGTTTACCAACTGCATCATGTTAAGCACATTTTTAACAGGTTACTGATGCTGTATTTTACAGAGATAAATCTAAACTAAACTACTGTGGTGTAATCAATCAGAAGAACCCCAGATTTTTGAGTTGTGTTTTGATTTTTCTTTATTGTACATAAACAAAGTGAAATTTACTGAGGCGGCTGTCCTCTGCCACGGCCAAATCCACCCCTCTGCAGGAGGAGAAAAAGTGCATCATTACTCAGTTTAAAAAAAAAAAAAAAAAAAAAACACTGTAGCCTTGCTGATTAAATAACGTTTAACGTTTATGCAATGTAATTATGTCATCAGCTCAACCTTCAAACTGTTTTAATTCTACCCAACAAGGTCCTAAAAATGGTCACGTGGCCAAGTTCTCAGCCCCTGAACCATAGCTGTGCTTTTTTTTTTTACTGCATAATGACTATAAGTTCATAAGTGCAAATGTGTACAAATTCACTTTAGAAGGCAAACTAACAATCGGTTTGTGTATAAACTTCACAAGACATGCATGTATGAAAATATACTCACAAAATGGAACTCTGTAGCAGCTCCAGCACCAGCCTCTGCTTTCTTGTCAGCACCGGCTGTTGGAGAAATAAAGAAATCATTATGTATTAACTAATCTGACTTTAATAGTTGTAGTTAGAAATTCTTAAGAGTTATAACTGAACTAGTGTCACATCTACAAGTATCCGGACCAGCAAAATGAAAGTTACGAACAGCTCAGATTGTGCAAAAGTAAGAAAAAACAAAGCAAATAAAATGTTAAACAAAATAAAGATAAAATAAATATAATAAATACATATTAATTAAGAATAGAAATAAATGGTGAAAGAACCTGCACTCTTCCATTAGAGAACACATCTAAAATTTAACACTTAAGGAGACAGAAGACATTTTCTTATGATTCGACGTCTCATTCCATGCCCCTTGAAGCAGTGTGCAATCATTGTACATTGGAACAGCAATACAAAAGCAGGAGGAATAATCAGTAAAACGCAGGTGTACTTACGGGGTGCAGCAGATCGCCTGTATGCATCTCTGTCAGCCTCCCCACGATTCAGACGGGCCGGCCTCTCGCCTTCCATTCCTGTAGATCAGAGCAACAACCAATCAGAAAATGTGGGCAGCACTTACAGTTCATTCGTTTGGTTAAAACCCCTTTTTTCCTAATATCTCCACATTTTAGATACATAAGCTATAAGATACATAATGAAGTATGTCATTAACACTTCTTTCTGAAAAAGCACACAAATAAGCAAACATGGACATTCTATAAACATCATCAACTAAGTGCTTCAGAAATTAATTACATCCAGTCCTAATGTTAATTACAGTGACACCCAGAGTTGTCAAAGAGCTTTTGTCTTCCATGTTACTACTGACCGTAAGCAGTGATTCTGGGCCAGAACCAGTGGAGCATTGTTTTAACATAAGCAATGAGACCAGCGACAAGTACATGAAAGGGGCCTTTTACATTTACCATGTGTGTCATGTGACTACTTTTTATTGTAAGGCACTGAATGAGTCCATTTGATTCAACAAATCCCAGACATCTAATTTACTGAGCCATTCATAAACTATTGCTGCAAAGCAGTCTACATCTATCACAAAGGAAATAGTCTTAAAAACAACAGGTTCAAATTTACAACATTTATCAATACAACAGCACTTACCCTTGGGCCTGGGCCTTGCGGTCTCAGGGCGGGTCTGGCGGCGCAGAGTTGCAGGTACAATCTCAGGGGGAAGGTGGAGAAAGTCTCTCAGGTACTGGATGCCCTCATTGGTCAGGTACCAGTAAAAATGGCGCCAGGCAAATTGCTCCTTGACATACCCACAGGACTTCAAGGACTAAAGAGGATATATAACATGCTTAACAACAAAATTCATGACTGAAATACACATTTTCAATTCTCATTTTTACACCATATTGAATAATGATACCTGATCAAACTACATTATCTTCATATTGGAAGAATAGAAGGTTGGCAGTAGTTACACGATTAAATAAAGCATTGCAGCTTGAACTGTTTGCAAAACACTTTCAACATTCTCAATAACCATATACTGAACTTTTTTAAAAACCCTGTATCGATAAGGTACAGTATTTTTCAATCTTATTATAACGTTTACATATGCTTTTGTATTAGTTTTTTAACTTTGATCAAACAATACATCACATTTATAGGCTTCACAAGTTAGTCACAATTGTGTACTTAGTCACACTCAAAACTTATTTATATGAACAGTACACAGCAGTGTGATGCAACAAAATAGGGAGCAGTAGCTTGAGTAGGAAAAAGGAAATGTGAAATAACTCAATACCAATAGAATAATTATCTACCAAAACTTAGACACATTCCAAACGAAATTGCCTGTTATATGAATTGCCAAAACTGTTTTACGGGTTCATGCTAACATAGCATCTGTTAACATCATTTGGTTTCCCATCCCATGGTCATTTGTACAAACAGTGAAACATACGAGTACCAAAAAACTCGATATCGACATATATGCTAGACATGTGTGTGAATTTGTTAATAAATAACAGAATTAATCCTCTGTACATGCAAGGTTAAATAACGATATGTCGTTTTGATCACTTAATATCTAACCTGCATCGCTTTCATCACATGAAGGTTGGGCACATTCTTGTCCGCAAGCTCGGGGTGGTTGGGCAGGTGGACGTCTTTCTTGGCCACCATGACACCCTCCTTAAAGAGGAGCTCATAGATAGCAATGCGATTCTTCTTGGGCATCAGCATCTGTGTGAAATGACAAGCTCTGCGTTAGCTTCCACACGCAGCGACATGCTATCAGACTAGCTAAGCTAACTCTGTTGGATACGAAAACAGGGGCGAAGACGACACATAAGCTTGCTTTAAACAATCTATAGTTCTTTTATAAGTACAATTAACTGTATAATTATATTTTCACAAAACAAATAAAATACAACATGTACAAAATGCAGGCAGTATGCGTTAGTAGGAAAGGAAAAATGGCAGCCAATCATGAACATCAGACTGTTCAATCCCTAACACCAAAATCCAACGTTATACAACGCTTTTACACTAAAATAGATCCATAGACTACATTTAAATGCTATACATAACCAGATCTTAAACAATGTTGTTTCATAAATCAAGAGATGATGAAGATATATTTAGATTTCAAACACCGGTTCTATCGTTACCTTTCAACTTGATTAGGGACCGGAGCCGGAAGGAACGACTCTAGTTGGCCGGAAAAGTTTATCCACTCGCGGCGCGACTTTACAACACGTGTCGCCCTCTACTGGTGAGGAGGGAATAGCGGTTGTTGATTCAAGTTATTTATTTTCTGGTCAATGTCAGAAAATACTACGGAAGCGTATTGCTGCCACACTGAGAAACAAATTTTTGGCTCAGTATCACGTAATTACGTCAAACTTATCACGTTATTACGTGACAAGTTTGCTTTTTTTTCTCAGTGTGGCAGCAATACGCTTCCGTAAAATACTACTACTACTACATTTAAAAAAAGGTCGGTAAATGCAGAGGAAATATTAATGCATCTCCTTGCTGATAAGTCAGGATATCGCAAATATAAAAAAAGAAGAGTCAGACTGAATTTATGTATAGATTACTTTATTTACAAATATTCTGTGATGCCCCTAAATGCCGTTACATTATCGCCTAAACAAGAACAAGAGCCACGTGCATAGGTTCAGTATAAAAAAGAAGTCTGTAATGGGGGATCATGGCCCCTAGGTGATCCATGGAGATACAGTAAAGGTGTCCGTTTGTTTGTTTGTTTTGTGATGAGAGAAATATATGAATTTAAAATAAATTGTATTTGAAATTGTTTTTCCCTATTACTTTCAAAACAATGTATAAGGGGTTCCCTGCTCCATCTCTTCATCAGTGAGAGGACCTTCAGAAGGAAAAATTTGAAGCCCCTTGCCATAAACAGAGACAACAAATGTGTTAAATGCAGGCCAAAAGCTTTACTGGATAAGCGTCGACCAATGAGATGTGCTTGTGAATTCAGCCCAAGATGTGTTGTGTGTGCCGTTTGTATTTTTTATCAAACAATAAACCGGACAACACATATTTTGAAGGAGCCTGGTCGACCGGAAGTTCTGTTCGTCCCTGCATTTAACTTGACACGATCCGCGGAACCATCCCCCATCTGGCGGCTGCTGCTCTCAGCTTCATTGACTGGGCTGTGAGAGCAGAGAGAAGGGAGTCCTGCAGATAAAGACAATGCTTTCATTTTGAAACAACTGCCCAGAAACTGGACTATCATAAATCCCGGTGAGTTACAACTGTTGCCTATTATTGATTGTTCATTTAAGTGTGTTCTAAGTAAAGCTGATGTTACTGGTGCATTAACAAATTCTGCTGAGTAGATATTTGTTGACCAGTGATGGGGTGAACGAGATAAATACAATAAAGTACGTTACAATGAGGAGCACGGTTTTCTTTTATTAAAAGCTGCAGTGACATGAGGGATGCAACTCGGACCGCGGTGGTGTGTTCGCCTCCTGCAGCCTATAGCCTTACATGTGAGGTGTTTGAGAATACAAAAGAAAAGCATATGCTGTAAAGAGAGTGTGCAGGGAGGAGCGGGGAGCTCCGTGTGCCTGCAGCTGAAGAGAGGAGAGTGATGAGCGTCTCAGAAGGCACCAGCCGGTGTTTCCTCCAACACCGGCGCCTCACTCTGATCCATCATGTTGTACAACGGCAGCTGCCTTGGTGACCACAGCTCCCGAGGAAGAAATAAAGTGATTTTAGAGGTCAAACCACTAAAGAAAGCGGACTGAAACCCTAGACTGTTTCCACAGTCTTTAGCTAATGCGCTTCTGTACCTCAAACCAACAGGTACAGTAGTCAGGACTGAGCTCTGCCCTGATAGATGTGGGTTTCTTATAGTTGTTTGTTGTTTTTATTATGCTATAAAACATTTTAATATAAGAAGTTGTCAAACAATTTAAATTTTAGTCCGATTAATCATAGGGTACCTTTAGATTAATCATGACTAATCGTGATCAACATCCCCAAATAAAGCATATATTGCATATATCCGTAACAGTATCACTCCGGTTTTTATTTGTGCCTAATCCCAGTGACGAAATCATTATTAAGGACATATTTAAAGAAAAATATACATAAGTTTAACTCAGTGTTTAGCTTCATAGAGTTAGTGGATTTTGTCATCACTGTTCGTCCTAACAGCAGCTTTTAGTTCCTTATCAAGAGTTTCCTCAAAACTTCCGTGAAGTTGTTGTCCTGAACAATGATATTCAGCCTACAGCCCTGAACAATCCGTTTGACTGTTGTGTCAGTCAGCCTGTCAGTCATAGACCTATTTACTGCCCTGTGCTTGAGGCTGGTCTGATGTCAGTCATGCGTCTGATCTGGAGTTGAAGCCTCCATAAACACATGCTGGAAGTTGAGATGGTATTTTTCAGCTTCAGGTGCTTTGGTGAAACAAAAACCTTTTTCCACAATGTGTATAAATAACAACGTGTTTATGCACCCTGTTGATCAGGGATTTTTAAATTCCCTGGTCACGGAATCGAACCTTTGACTTGAACAAAACCTCGTCTTTGGCCCATTGATGTCAACGATAATTTAATTTTGTCTTTGAGATAATTTTCCAAATTATTATCAACTGTAGTATTATACAGTATTCATAAAATCGGTATCTGGGTTTTTTTTCCTCCAATGAAATACAGGGGTAGCTTTGGCCCTCAGCTCATTTGGTCATTACTGTAGTCAACATCAGGAATTCTTTACCTTTACTGCTGTATTACTCCCATCTAATAGGCCACTTTATTTTACCATAGTCCTTCCTTTTAGTTGTTTTGTATTCCAATTTTGCTCCTACAGACTCATCCTTCTGCAAATACTGGAACATGATTAGAAATCTTTGTCTCTTTTGTTAAAGTTACTAATTTATTATTTATTCATCATCCATTTACAACAGTTAGAGTCGTTTATCTCAAAGGAAACAAACAAAAACACAACATTAAAAAACAAAAAACTCAACTCAACTCCATCACAGTGTGACTCTGGTCTTTGTGTGATAACGGCCTGAGTACATCTGTGAATCTCCTCCACCCTAATTGGAGCAATTCATTTGATGACTTAGAATCACTTTATTCACAACACCCACTTTCATCCAGTTTTTGTGGCAGCGGTGACAGATGATGTGTCGTTGTTAACATAATTAATTAGATTAAACTCCAAATCCTGTTTTGGCTGTCAGATGTTATTATTCCCAGTAGGCAATGAGCAGCCTGTTTGTATTTATAAGCCTGCCATGTCACATCTGGTCTTTACTATTCCCTTCTGACATTAGATAATTGAAAGACAGCGCTTCTGCTCCATTTCACCAAGAAAAAAAGGCTTCAGAATTCACAGACTGTTTTTCTCTGGTCATGTCCATATGTAAATTATATATTTATAATTACCTCTGAAAATGACTAAAAGACCTGATGCAGAGAATAAATGCTGAAGATAGTTAATCCTGCTTACACACACACACATGCACACAGTGCATGCAAGTGCATGAGAAGTACTAATGTAGGCACTGATTAGAAATTCCCCCTCGTGTCCACGGTGTTTGACTCTGCACTCTGCCCACAGATTCTGAATCAGCACAATTACACCTGCAGCTTTCACTGTGCACAACAGCAGCAAATTGGCTTCAAACCAACTCACTGCATGGTTTCAGGTCCAGGTGCATGAGCTTAAACTATTTGAGGTGCTTCCAGGTGTGAGACTGACCTGACCCATACGCCTCTAGGACTCTTTTTTATACAGTTTAGAATCTAAGGTTCAATGGAAATATTTGATTTTAAGCTGCAGATGTTGCAGACAACAAAACCCCAAAATATTGTTAGCTGGTGAACATCACAGGCGTTGTTCATGCTGACATGCATAAATATAAATCACAGATGAAAAAGACATCTCCGCAATAAATGCAACGGTAATTGGAAGTTAGAATGTCAGTAGAGTATGTACAGTAAAAGTTGTTGTTGCGTCTGTGTGATGTGTATGTTTCCATTTTATGGAATGAATCAGCCAGATACTCCGGGGGCAGTTCTGCAGTAGATGTTCCTTTGGAGAGGAAGTGATTGGCTGCAGGTTTACTCTGTTCCTCCGAGGCCCCAGTCTGTCAGATTTATAGTGATGCTTGAAGTGGTGTTTCTCTGCCAAATGAGGTGAAAGAAAGAGCGCGGTGTCGCAACTGTGCCTCACTTTGGGGTGGTTTGTGCACGCCTTTATGTGTTTGTGTGTGTTTAAGGACTTAAAAGTGTTTATATTTTAATTATTGTTCATTCCAATAAATACCTCAAAGTAATTGAAAAAAGGAACAAACAGAAACAACTGCTCTTTATTTTTTTGTACTTTTTTTTATCCTTACTGTCATTTGGGTAATTGATATACTACAATAAAAAGTGACCAAATGCAAAACATTTTAAATGATTCAATTTACAAAAAAGTACTACAAAAAATGAAATAAAATGTTAAAAATTAAATATGTTTGAACAGATAATATCATGCATCTTTATCCAGATTGGTCCTTTGTCTTGATCTGCATCACTGATGATTCTCGAAACATGACAAGAGTTTTATTCATGAAAAAGCAACAAGGTGTGTGTGTATGTGTGTGTGTCTTCTGGCTCGGAGCACCTGTGGTTTCTTTGAATGAGTCGTTCCGTTTTCACCCCCTGTGATTCCTGTGACTCCCCTGACTCTCAGAGTCCCTTCTGTCCTGGGCTCAGTGTGTGTGTTCACTCTGCAGCTGAAGCTGGATCCTCAATAAACTCTCTGTGCACACTGAGATGGAAAAAAAGACTATTGATTTCACGACAAATCGGGATGGAGAGTGTAGAAGTCCTGCACACTTGCCCCTGGAATATTGATTACATTCTTTCAACCCTGGGGTTTGAGGAATTGGCTGTAGACACAGAGGGCTACATGGGGTTTTGCAAACTTACTCCTACCAGGTCTTAATCAGATATACATTTGACAGGACTTGTTCCTCTGTACAGTTGGTTTAAGGGAAAAGGGAATAATGTGATAAACAGTCCAGACTTTCTCTGGATCTCTAACAGAACTATCATTTTTCATTTTATACCAGTGCATGAAAATAACACATTACACTGTGACTTTAGTCAGTGCACAGACCTTTTGACCTGTTATGTTTCCATTGAAATCCCATCTGTTGACACCTCTCCCTGTCAGAGTAAGGAATAAGACCAGACCTGCAGGTTTGTCACTTTGCCTGCACAGTTGTTGTAAATTACTTCCTCCAAGAAAGGGCTCTAACAGAGGGGTCAAATGGATTTGGCCCCTGA